AACAAACACCTTGCTCTATCTGTGGATCTTGCAGCTTCGCAGTCAAATAGAGTTGGGTAGGGTGAAATATGCTCTAGTTAAACATATCCAAATTTCGCGCGATTTGCTCCACTAAGAAAAAAGTTATGAACGAAAAAGCTGGAAGCGTTTGACCGATCACTTTTGAGCGCTACTGTATGTCCAGCAGCTTGCCTGTTCGTTGGAGTACCCAAAAATGAACTGTCAATTTTTATTACCTTCTCGTTTTTTTGTTGGTTTTTTTTATGAAAAGAACCTTTCCTGAAAAGTTCAATGAAAGTAGTACCTGCATTACGAGTAGTCTATTCATCTGTCGATGCATGGCTTTTGTTTGTACACTGAGGGATGATTTTCTCAAGGTGATGTTGATTTTTATAGCCCAATAGATGCCAGCTTTCGTCAACAATAACACTGTGACTACCGAATCGACGGTGAAAATGAGCTGATTCCAACTAAGTGTAGGCTAAAATATAGTAAAAATTAATATTAATATTATTAATATTGATAAATAATATAAATTTGTCATAGTAGTTTTGTTTTCGGAAATTCCCCACTATTGAGTATAAGTCCATGAGTACGGGAGAGGCCCATTTATCGGAGCAGGCTTAAATATTATTTCTGACGGATGGAGGCCGTCTTTTTTATAACACTGCCGTAGGCGTTTCAACTACTCTTTTCCACTTGAATATGGAACTCAGGCAAAAATACGTTGGCTTCTTACCACTCATCGATACTAGATTTGTTTGGAGTTGCCTAAGGATTAGATACCAGAGAGGTAGCCTGCCAGCGCAACCTAGTCTTTTATCCTTTTTGGGTTAGTTGCCAATTTTATTTGGGAGGGCTGACGGTACATGCATCCTATAATCGGAATGATCAAGGCTAACGAGTTTATCTTTAGCCGAGTCTCCATCACTATAGAGCAGCCCCTCCCCACCCCGAATTATTAGGCAGACGGAAAAGCATGGGCACATTTTGTTTTCATGCTGTCAAACATCTACGGAGATTGCCTCACAGCGTTCATTGCGATACATATGTGAAGACAGGACAATGCGCTCTTCCTACCATATCTGCCGTAGCATTTCGCAACGGTTATGGCTGCAAGAATCGCTCTCAACTCGAATCGCATGTTAAACCGCTTTTGCTTTATAGGTTCAGAAAACGTTAATCCAAATTGAGCGAGCGACATGAAAAATATGTGATGCGATGAGACCCTTTATCATCTCTCACAGCACAACAAGAAATTTGAACCACAAGTTCAAAAATAGCCACTTTAATTAGACCAAAAAACCACGATCTGGGAGACCAGTTGATCTGAATGACGACCACCTTCTGGAACTGGTTGGAGAGGATTCCAGGTGTAGTACCCTCGAGTTGAAACAGGAGCTCAATTGTCACCAAGACACAGTAGCTGACTATTTGCACTGCCTTGGAAACACATGAAGCTATCGAGATATGGACAAGCCGTGAGCTGGGTGGCCACCACCTCCAAATGAGTAGTGATTCATGCGTGAACTTGTTGACTTTCCGGCGACTTATGGCTGGAAGACTTAATCACTGGCGCCGAGAAGTGTGTTCCCTAAGTAAACCATTCAAGGAAGCACCAGTGGCTCGGGCGCGTAGAGCATGGAATCCCGACCCCCGAACCAGAACTCTAACATAGGAAGGTAATGCTTAGCGTTTGAAAGCATCCGTAAAGATCATGCTCGGGACTTGCTGCCACCAAACTCCACTGTAAGCAAACAAAGCCGTGTGTACTCTGTGATCCTTATTGTTGCAGATCTACGAGAAAAACAGAGGGAAATCCACTTTCTTTGCGACAGTGCACGCCCATATATTTCGAAGGAGGCCCAGAAGAAACTTCAGAGCTTGGGATTGCATGTCCTGGCCCACCCACCGTATTCACGAGACCTGGCTTTAAGGGATTATCACCTGCTCCCGTGGCTGTAAAACATCAACTCGAGACGTGCATCGGCGGGTTTCGAAACCCCAGGATTTCTATGCAAGCAAGATCCACAAGTTGCCTGATGGAAAAAAGAAAACCGAAGAAGATTGCGAAGTGCTATACTTTTCCCCCAACCTATTATTATTCCGTTCACGACGAAAACGCGAAACAGTCAACAGGGGGATCGCTAGAGTAACATGAACTTTCGGAATTATAACAACTCTTAACCAATGAACCTTACCTTCACGCAAAAGCCGAGAAACGCAGTTTTGTATAGATCCATGCTAATTATGTTCCTCACAGGTTCTCGGACATAGGCTCCAATTTCGTCGTAAGGAAATAAACAAAAATAAATGTAACACGCCCAGTTGAAGATAATCAGTAGGTTAATCGCCAACAATGACAAAAATCCTTTTTTGGTCGAATAGAAGACAAAGTATTTTGACCTAAAAGCAGATTTTTTAGACGAACAATAATCTCAATGCGTCGAGTCTAGAAATTAAATTTGTTTTCTGCAACCTAGAAGGTTTGGTTATCTCATAGCAATAAAGCTGAGTTTTGAAAAATTTGTGCTGCCCTGGAAGGAATTGGGATCTGGGGTGTTCTTTTTGAAAAACATGCCTCCACCCACTGAGCAACAACAAGCACGACTGCCATTCCGTGAGCACGATTTGTAAGCATTTTTCAAAAAAAAAANAAAAAAAAAATCGCTGAATTACTGTTCAAGAAACAAAAAAAGCCTAAGGAGGCCATTTCACAGGTCCTTGAAGATGTAGATTTCCGATCCATTGAAAAATTAGTACTCGATCAAAATTCTGTTAGATAAGTGTTGGTTTTTTGAGTTTCTTTTTCTATTAATTGTAATTAATCCAAAAAGCGTCTTCATCTTGCTTTAATGTTTGTACTTACCTGCACAGCTGGAGATATCTATAGAAAAAGATATTGGCCGTTATCAGGATGTGTAATATGAATGAGACCACAACCAGTGCAAGCAGGACCACTCCTGATGTCCCAGAGCTCACTGGACCAGTTGCTGTCAGGACAAAGCAGAAATTCCAAGCGACAATTCTCTATAAACACGATCAGCGAAATTTTTGCTATTATACTCGAACAAATTTTATAAGTTCTATGGTTACCGGTGAACCGAGCAAAACAAATAGTGAATATGCAATATTTTGAACTGCCGTAATAGGAATGAAATACTTTGAAGTGTTCATTTTCAGTGGTCGTAGGAAGTAGACGAGAAGCAGTAACGAATTTATCAGTATTGAAGACGACAGTATTGATACTGTGACAAAATAGTAACTGTCGATTATCATCTGGAATTGATGAAAAGTATCATCAAAATTCATTGTGTCAATAATTTATCCCTACGCGAAATACCTTCAAGATAAACGAAGACGGTAAATGAGTAAATAGGGTGTAAATAACCATGGAAAAATGCAACAGGGAGCTGAAGATCTCTTTCGGTTATAGATTAATAGGAGTTGAACATAAGCTTGTACGATCGATGGATGGAAACCTACCTGGTGGATGGTTTGGTGGATCTGCGCAGGGCTGGTCCGAGATTCGATCTAATGACCATGTGTTTGGTAGCGCACTCTTTGGCATTACGCTACCCCTAACCCTGGGCTTGCAACATATACGTTTTCTCCACAACGAACTACATGAATCATCTCAATGTGTTCTTCAAATGAAGCTAACACTCCATTAGAAGTCAGGGCCTTTGTGTGAGAGAAAGTAAACCAAGTGGTCATAGCAATTTCCGAAAGACTCGTTGGGCAGAGTGACTCCAGGTTAAGACTCCAAAAATGGAAATCCACGGGAAGCAACTAAACTCAACTGAATGAATTCAGAATCTGGAATAATGTTTGGTTTTCGAGAGGTTAAAAATTAATAGTTTTCTATTAATTGTCAGTTTCATCGATAAATGCCAGGAACATGCCATTTATGAGCGCTGAGCTGCCCACGAAAGTTATTTACGATGTGCGTGATGTCTGATGGTTTGAACTTTGCTTTTAAACGACAAAAAAGAATTCCTTGGATCTGATCAATCCTCTTGTGAAATCTTCTCGCTTGAGTACTTTCCCATGGACACTTTCTTTATTCTTCTTCCTCCTGGCGACTGGGAAACAGAAAATGAAGTAATTTAGAGCTTCATAGGATTATTTTGTCCGGCAGTTGAACCCACGTCTGGCTTTATTTGATACTCTCCTACGGAAAAACTAGCCTTTATATATAGATACATAAGTGTTCGTGGAGACAGATTGAATCACTGCGACCAATACCTTAAACCTAAACATAAGAGACTGAACAGGGTCGTATCAGTTTGGAGTCACTCGGATAGGATTGATGAATAGAAAATTCTGAAGAAAACTGAAA